AAAGGAAGAACACAGAATGTAAGGCTTAAGTTCTTTTCTTTATTTCCTGCATCTATAACTTTTCCTCTCTAAGGAAAAAGCTTCCCCTCCTGTTTTTTCTTTTTTTTTTTTTTTTTTTTTTCCCCCCTCTTTCTATATATGTGTGCAAGGCATACTTTTTTTCTTTCTAAGTTATGCACACATTTAAGGTATTTGGATACGGGTGGCTGTAAATAGAGCAGAATTATAATCTTTGATGGAATTTTAATAAAAAGATGTGTTAATTTGTTGGTGAATTCTTCTAGCTTCCAGACAAGACTATTGCAAGCCTTGTAAAATATTACTATTCTTGGAAAAAAACTCGCTCTAGGACAAGTTTGATGGATCGTCAGGCTCGAAAACTAGCTAATAGAAATAATCAAGGTGACAGGTAAGGTTTATGTTCTTAAGCAGCTCTGGGCCTTGTCTTGTAGAGACCAAAGTCTTTCTACGTAGAAATGTTTCAGAAATTCCAGCCATTAGGCTTCAGCATGAACTCTGTTTTTATGTTTGAGCATCTGTGATGTTGTCTTTGCTTTCAGCAGGTGCTCTCTGATAGATCTGTTTCAGAACCATATTACTCTTGTCAGTATCTGTTGTAATCATGAACTCGGCTTTAGTGGATAACTCCAAAACCAAGATTTTAAAAACCCTGCAGTTTGGGCATGTGGCTTAGAAATAATGTTCTGTTTGGGAAGTCTAATCCTAAGTGATTGCATAATGGGTAGGGTGTGGAGAATGGCGTGTTTCTGTTATTAAAACTAGAATGGATAACTAAAAGGTCAACCAATACAAAGAACCTCAGCAATGAAAAGCAGCTGAGTGCTGCTTAATAGTGAAATTTTAAGATATGTGTTTATGTAAACCTTATTTTGGGCGCATTTAGAACTAATATGTGTCAAAGAATTAGAGTTCGACATAGTGCTGATGTAGCATGCTCTTGTTTACATGAGCAGGTATGTTTTATTTCACATCTATAATAAACTGCCTAGCCAGAGGAGAAGGGTCTATTTAGTTGTGTGTTACTAAAGGGGGAAACTCTTGTCATTTGCAATTTGTATTTATTTAGTGAGCCTATAATTGAAAGAAAAGCATAAGAAAATCAGTTTGTAATACTTTTTTGTAATAACAAGAATTTTTTGGATTTTTTATATTGGAAATTAATTGTGTGAGTGATTAGATTGGACTAGGCTAAATTAATTCTTCTCTCTTTTCATCTTTTCCTCTGATTTAATTCAGCAGATGATTTCCCTTCTTGCTCTCCCTCTTCCCAAAGCTGTAATTCTTCAAGACTGCTGTTTTAACCAGTTTAGGGTACTCAGTTCTCCCATCTCCTGCTGCCGCCTTCTGCTCCTTGCAGACTGACGCAGGGGATTATTCATCTACCATCTACTGGTTGAGAATTGGTCTTTTTTAAAAAAATAACCTGGCAAATGAAAGCTTAATTCCAGTCCTCATGTAGTTAACCATATAAAAGCTCGTGCTGGTACAAGTTGCTGGATTAAAGAAAAGCTGTGGTTTTGTTTTTGTTTTGTAACAAAGCCAGCTATACTGACTTTAGATGTTTTTAAAACTCCAGATTAGGACTGGTAATTCATCGTAGTAATTACAAGAATTTAATGAAGGAAACAAGAGGGTTTTTTTTAATTGTATTTAGTTTTCAAGGTAGAGCTGTTGCAAATGTCGAATAGTATAACCATAAAATTTGACTACTTAGAATAGATGCTTTAGATATCTGTGTCTTGTCTAGATACACATATATTTGTGCTTTAAATAAAATGACTAAGTAAAATGACCATCTTATTGCCATTTGTCCTTAGTGATGATGATGTAGAAGAAGCTCATCCAATGGATGGAAATGATAGTGATTATGATCCCAAAAAAGAAGCCAAAAAGGAGGTAACAGATAATTTAATGGTGAATGTCAGTTTGTTTGTTTTCAGTGAATGTGTTACTGTGAAAAATACAACCTCTAGTAGAAGAGGCTCAAGATGTAATGAAACAGCAGGATTCTTAGTTGATCAAGTTTTGGATGACTTTTGCATTAAATTGAATTTTACTCTCTGTTTTTGCCATTTGTTGTGATAATGAAAGAAATGCGAGATGCATTTCTTTCACTATCTCGTGAAAGATGTTAATGTGTGCTATCTTTACCTGGTAAAAATAACATCTCCCAAACCCTGTCTTGTTAATACCTGTTTCCAGTTTTACTCATGGGGAATTACTGGAAACTGTCTTTGTTATATATTTAAAAATGAAATAGCATTTTTTTCCAAATGTAACTTACTTTGTTCGTCCAAAGCCATTTTGAGATTTTGCTTTTTAACTCAGTTATGGCTTTATTCAGATGCTTTCTGATAATAACCTGAACAGAAAAAAAAAAAACTTTGTTCCCCTCAGTAGGGCCCTTGCTGTTAGCTTTACCGATAAGCGCTCTGTTTCGGGAATGTAGATTTTTTGGTTTTGTTTGTTTTTTTTGGTAAACATTAAGAAAACAATGAAACATTTTGACATTAAGCTGTGTTCTTCTAAACTTGATCATAAGTAACTTAGCTTAATACATTTGGGTTCTTCCTGAAATGGAAGAATTAATGTTCCTTGAAAATGTGAGGAAGAGATAGTGCAGTTTCAACATCTCTTTAGGACAGTGATATGGTACCAAGGATTATTAATACAACTTAGGACTTCTGCCAAAAATGATGTTGAATAAAAGATTGATAGTGTTAGATTCATAGAATCATAGAATCATAGAATGCTTAGGGTTGGAAGGGACCTCTAGAGATCATCTAGTCCAACCCCCCTGCATACGCAGGGACACCTAAAGCACGTGGCGCAGGACTGCATCCAAGCGGGTTTTGAAGATCTCCAGAGAAGGAGACTCCACAACCTCTCTGGGCAGCCTGTTCCAGTGCTCGGTCACCCTCACTGTGAAGAAATTTTTCCTTAAGTTCCTATGGAATTTTTGATGTTTCAGTTTCTGGCCATTTCCTCTAGTCCTATCAGTGGCCACCACTGAAAAGAGACCATGACCGTCCTCTGCACTCCCTCCCTTGAGGTATTTATATACACTGATTAGATCCCCTCTCAGCCTTCTCTTCTCCAGGCTGAACAGGCCCATCTCCCTCAGCCTCTCCTCATAGGGCAGATGTTCCAGGCCCCTGATCATCCTTGTAGCCCTGCGCTGGACTCTCTCCAGCAGCTCCACATCCCTCTTGTACTGTGGAGCCCAGAACTGGACACAGTACTCCAGATGCGGCCTCACCAGGGCTGAGTAGAGGGGCAGGATCACCTCCCTCGACCTGCTAGAGATGCTCTTCTTAATGCAGCCCAGGATTCCATTGGCCTTCTTGGCCACGAGGGCACACTGCTGCCTCATGGTCAACTTATCATCCACCATGACACCCAGGTCTTTCTCTGCAGAGCTGCTCTCCACAAGGTCGGTCCCCAGCCTGTACTGGTGTCTGGGGTTATTCCTCCCCAGGTGCAGGACCTTGCACTTGGCCTTGTTGAATTGCATGAGGTTTTTCACCGCCCAGTTGTCCAGTCTGGCCAGGTCCCTCTGGATGGCAGCACAGCCCTCTGGGGTATCGGCTACTCCTCCCAGTTTGGTATCATCAGCAAACTTGCTGAGGGAGCACTCTGTGCCTTCATCCAGGTCATTGATGAATAAATTGAACAGGACTGGACCAAGGACTGACCCCTGGGGCACAGGGCTAACTACAGGCCTCCAACTAAGCTCTGCACTGCTGATCACCTCCCTCTGAGCTCTGCCATCCAGCCAGTTCCTAATCCACCTCACTGTCCACTCATCTATCCCACACTCCCGGAGCTTGCCCAGGAGGATGTTGTGAGGGACGGTGTCAAAAGCCTTGGTGAAGTCGAGATAGACGACACCCACCGCTCTCCCCTCGTCTATCCAGCCGGTCATTCCATCATAGAAGGCTATCAGGTTAGTCAGGCAAGATTTTCCCTTGGTGAATCCATGCTGACTACTCTTGAGCACCTTCTTGTCCTCCATGTGCCGGGAGACAACGGCCAGTATGAGCCGTTCCATCACTTTTCCGGGGACGGAGGTGAGGCTCACTGGCCTGTAGTTGCCTGGGTCCTCCTTCTTGCCTTTTTTGAAGACTGGCGTGACATTGGCCTTCTTCCAGTCTTCCGGCACCTCCCCCGTTCTCCAGGATCTTTCAAAGATGATGGAGAGCGGCTTAGCTATGGCATCTGCCAGCTCCCGCAGCACTCTGGGGTGCATCCCATCAGGGCCCATGGATTTGTGGGTATCGAGGTTCCTTAGGTGCTCTCTGACCCAATCTTCCTCTACCCAGGGCAAGTCTTCCTCTCCACCCGCTTCTTCTCTTGCCTCTAGGGCCTGGGGCTCTAAAGGGCTGCCCTTGGTAAACACCGAAGCAAAGAAGGCATTGAGCAACTCTGCTTTTTCTGTGTTATTTGTAACCAAGGTGCCCATCCCGTCCTCCAGCGGACCCACGTTCTCCCTGATCTTCCTTTTGCTGTTAATGTATTTGAAGAATTTTTTTTTGTTATTTTTAACGTCCCTTGCCAGCTTGCCTTCCAGACGTTCCTTAGCTTTCCTTGTCGCATCTCTGCACTCCCTGACTATGTTCCTGTATTTCTCCCAGGCGACCTGTCCTTTTTTCCGCCTTTTGTATACCGCTGCCTTCCGCTTGAGCCAAGCTTGAGCTTGGTCCCAGTTTTGCAAAGACCTTCAGTGTATCACTTTAGCTGCCCAAGGAGAGAAGAAAAAGGACCTCTTTTCTACAAAGGGTTTGAGATTCTTCTTTCTTGGAATATGCTGTTTAGAACTTGAAATGGCCCAAACTCTAATTATGAACCTTTTTATTCCTTCTCTCCCGACCTTCATTCCATGACTGTAACAGTCTTTTTGCAATCTGTTGATTTGATTTGGTACCTAAGCTTCTTTCTAAGCACTGGCTATCCTTTCCAGCTTACTCTCCTTTGTTAATATGCATATAATTGCACCCAGTCCAGAACAAAAGCAGCATATTTGTAGGCTTCTAAGAAGAGGGCAAATAGCTTGTCAGAAACTGCAAACCTATTTGGATCCACATAATATTGTTTTGTGGTCTGATATTTCTGGTAGGTTTTACATACTTTCACTTCCTAAGCAAATTATAAACTCCCTATCTTACATAAATGTGTAGCCCAGTGGAAACTTTCTCTAATCAGAAAAGACTAAAACAAGCTAAACATCAGCCTGGCAAGCCCAAAACTTGAGGATGAGTTCTCTTTAAATCCAGATTGAACAGACAAAGTGCAGTTTCACTCTGAGAGAACAATGTTTGACCCAAAATGCAAATGGTGTCAGTGGGCCAGAAGTAAACTTAATCTTGGGATTATTAGTTGTCAAAGATTTAAGGCTGTATATTAACTTTCCACGCAGGAGCAGTAGAAGCAACTGTCCTAAATGGTTTTTAAATTAGCCTTAGTGTAGTCTGTGGGCTTGATAAGATGTTACAATAGCTGAGAAGAGGATGTAGCAGAAGGTCACACTTAGGAGATGAAGATATGAATGCCAATATGTACTAATCCTGCAAAACATAATAATATCTGCCGCATTTTTTCCCTTCACTGTGATCAGGTGACCACTTCCAACCTGTGTGGTTGACAGGTAGGCAGGAGCAGCAAGGGGGGGTGTGCTTAAATAGCAGAGAGCCTCATTCTCACCTCTGTTCTGGTACTAGAAGTGTTAGACTGAAATACCCGTAGAGGGAAAATCATTTGCTTCTCTGCTGTGAGTGTGCAGGTAAAACCTCCCAATTGCTCTACCAGAATCATGTGCATGAAGGCAAAACTAAAGCTTTCAGCAAACGTCAAGGGTCTGAGCATATCTGAAGAATGATTATAATTTTTCTATTTTATCTTTTTCCATTTGCAAGAAAGCAAACAACAAAGACTTAAGTTTCCTAAATTAAATGGGTTTTTATAGGAATTGTGAAAGTAAAGCGGTGCCATTTCTTTCAAATCTCCAGTCCCTTCCTAAAGCAAATGGCTCTTAGCTTTTCAAGGTAGGATGCTTACAGCAGGGGAGGTTTCACTTTGCACTCTTGCCAGTCATAGTGACTTTCTCCCCCTCTCTTGATCTCACTGTCCTTCGTATTTGACCTGAAGAAACCATGCTAGTTTAAGTACCTTAAAATGTTATTAGCAATAACTGCCAAATCATGGCATTACTTGGTTTAAAGATGCTGTGTATGTATATTCTTTACCCTTTCAGTACCTCAGAGGTTATTAGTCCCTGCCTTCTTTCATAGTACTGGGAGTGTGAATTCTGTATCACTTATTGTATTTTCACCTGTGTTGGAGAGAAAAAAAAAAAAAAAAAAGCAGCTTGAAAAATTAACCTTCCTAAGGCTGAGGGAGGCCTGCCCAGAGTGGTGTGTTCCATCGCATCATCTGTGAGGCTCAGTTTGGATCCTGTGTGGAGAGAAGGATGTTAGTTTAGGATTTATTGATTGTGTAAATATGACATTGCAATGCAATGTGATACTGCAATATGGTAAGATACTGTTGTAATTTAACTATTTATTTCTTGTGAATTAAAGGGCAATAATGAGCAACCCGTTCAGACCAGCAAAATAGGGCTGGGTAGAAGAGATTATCAGAGTTTACAGCATCGCCACCATTCTCAGCGTTCCAAATGCCGGCCGCCAAAAGGCATGTACCTGACCCAGGAAGATGTGATAGCAGTTTCCTGTAGCCCCAATGCAGCCAACACAATTCTTAGACAGCTGGATATGGAACTAATCTCATTAAAGCGACAGGTACCATGGGTTATTGGACTTGTTTTGTTTTCATCTCAGATTGCTCTTGTAAAGTTTCTGAAACTTTTCTGTGAAGATTCTGAAATCTGTATAACATGAGTCTTCCTAATTTTGTTCTGCAGTGATCACCAAAAATGCTGGACATAAGCTGTTCTTCAGTTTTATTGCTATGTTTTTTCAAATCTCTGTCACTCAAGATGCTTTCCTTTCTAAAAACAAAATTGAGGGGCGTGTGTGACATGAAACCAGCGTTGATTTGCGGATGGGGAAAACTCAAGTCATTTGATTTGGTGTGGGTTTTTTTTGTTGTCGTTGTTTTGTTTAAGCATTTACATGAAAAGTGAGAATGAAACCAAGGAAGCAGTGCAAATTTAAGCTTTTTTTATGCTTCCAATTGTAGCTGTTTTCAGGGTGAGACATCCAGTCCAGTGGGATAGGACATCCAGGAAAGCCTGGAGGGAAGAGAGGGATCGTGGGCGAGCATGGCCTAGCTATTTCTCCATTTAAAATGTTGATCACTCTTACTGCAGACTATAACCTGCTTCCTTTGCATAAAGAAGTTTATTTGCAGCACTTAAAATTGAAGCACAGAATCTGTTCAGCTTCTCAGGACACTGCAGTATGTGCATGCTTGCTTTCTAGGAGGGATGTGGCAACAAATTCAAGGCTTATCTGCTGGAATTTCTGCCTCCTTATAGACTGCTAAAAGATCCTGTGTTACAAGATGATGGGCACAAAGAGTTTCATGGGCTTTTTGCTCCCTTGTATTCTTTTTGCAGGAGAAATCTGCTTCCTTCTATCACAGCAGGACTTTGGGGCTAAATAGCATAGGTGGGTTTCACTCTTTAGCTAAGTGTAGGTGAGTTGCATCCTTAAGGGTGCAGGGGTGGCTTTTGTTTTTTTCCCTCTCTCTCCTTTCAGTTATCTCGGAGATGCAGCCTCTGGAATCTCCTACTGAATTGTCTGTTTCTATGTCCATACTTTAAAAACACCTGTAATAGCAGTGCATACCTAGTCTTTCTCACCTATGTTACCTTATGTGCATTACTCAGTCAGCTTTAAATGGTTAATAAATCTGTTTGTGTGAGTTAAAAGCTCTCTCCTTGTAGAATAAAATATTTAATCTACATATATTACACTTTCAAGGAAACCCTTTACGGAAATTGAGATGATCTAAGGTCAATAAAAAATGGTGTGTCAGAAGAAGCTAACTGGAAATAGCTCATAAATTTTCCCCTCCTCCCTCCAAGTACTTTCTGGAGAAGGAAGAAGTATATTTATACATATCACTTAAATATAAGTACATATCACTTAAATCTAAGAACTAAGCTTCTGTCTAGAATATTCTGTGTTCTTCCAGAGTATATATAGCATCATCAAAACTTGCTTTGTATGTCCTTTTACTATTCCTGCAGGCAAACTGTTCTTTTGAAGGGCTGGCCTAAATACTTTTTTTTTTTTTCTCTCTCCATAGTAAACTGTATCTTTTTATTTTTTTCTAACAGTTAAAAGTAGAGAAGCCTTAAACCATAATGTTTCTCTTTCTAACTTAGGAGGTACACTTGTGGCAATCCTAGTGAAGATATATGTGTAAAGTGACCAACTTTCTTTGTGGAGCTGATTAACTTTGTTGTTTTTGACCAAGGTTCAAAATGCTAAGCAAGTAAACAGTGCACTTAAACAGAAAATGGAAGGCGGGATTGAAGAATTCAAACCTCCTGAGGTAAATCAGAATAAATACTGGAACTTGTGGCCTTGCACTTACATTAGTGGGAAACGACAGAAATGCCTTTTGCTGCTTGCTTTTCACTAGCAGCTTAAACAAGATCAATTCAAATGTATACAGTGGTGAGTCTGGTGTCTTTATAAGAAATGGGTAGCAGGCTTTTGTTTTGTCTTATATCAACAAGCTGAGTAAAGAAATGGAGGAAAACCTTTTGTTCTAAAGGATTGAGTGTAAAACAAAAATGCAAAGCACTCATATAAAATTCAAACAGCTTAGATAAATATCTATAAATTCAAATTCTGTCTCTGTAAAGTTCATTAGCATGTGTGTAAGTAAGAATATAGGCGAAACTGAAGAATTGCAATAAAGCAGAAGGGGAAAAAGATACCAATACAGTTCTGAATTGAAAAACTGTGAATACTACTTCCTCTTCATTAAAGCAGCCTTAACCTTTACGAATTCGTGGTTTATTGAGCAAGAGGTTTTACGTATTTTACAAACTGTAGTTCAACTAAAGCACATTCTGATGCTCAGGTGTTTTACAGATGTTGCTACATTTTAATTATCTTTGTGCCATTTTTCTGATTTTAATAGTCTAATCAGAAAATCAATGCCCGTTGGACCACAGAAGAGCAGCTTCTTGCAGTACAAGGTATGTAGTGACTTGAAACCTGATGCAAAGGATTTTGTGAGGTGTTCAGGAATGTTTATACTCCTGTAAGATTGAAAACTAAACTCTCTGATCTTGAAAGAAAGTCACTGGGAAGGCAACAACAACAAAAAAAAGAGAATATGTAGCATATAAATTAAAGCAAACTGAGATTACTCTTTCAATTACTCCTATTAAATCTTAAATAGAGACGCTAAGCTGGATTTAACAGTTCTGTATAGTACCAAAAAGCCCCTTCATTCATATTCTAAATGGCATTACAAGAATTTCTGTAAAGTACTGAAGTAGTAGTCAAGTAGTCAAGACTGAAGTAGTAGTCAAAATCTTAAAATTTTCAACACTTAGGACACCTCTGTATATCCATAAAGTAGGAAAAAAGCAAAAATAGCTGCTTTATTCCCTCACAAACAGAGAAAAAAAGCTGTAATAGGGCAGATATCTAGGCAGTGGAGGCCTTTGAGTCTGAAGCCAGATATAGATACTGTACTAATGTTATTATACTAACTAAAAATAAACATGTCCAGGTTATTTGTACAACAAACTTGCAGTTACCCATTTATTTGAAGAAAAACTGACTTTTGTCTTGCTTCAACATTTGTTACCTAATCAAGGAAAGTATAAGGGAACTATTTGTAAGCCCATTATTGTCTTGAAGTCACTATATGTTGATTTGTTATTATGGATCATCTTCTCTAACATACATCACTTCTAGGATAATATTAATTGTTCACATCTTTATTTCCCTCTATTCTTGACCTGCTTTAAAATCACAAACTGGATTTTAGTACAGAACTTTCAGTTGGGTCAGGGTGTCAGTGCAAAATTGTCAAGTGTGTCATACTTGTTAATCAAGCCGAGTGACCTATACTGAACCTCAAGTTGGCTTTATTTTGAAGTGTGAAGGAAGATCTGAAGGGAAGGGCATCTCTGAAATCATATCTCCTGAACTTGCTTGCCTCTGAAACTGGGATTCACATCTCCAAACTGTTTGCAGTCTTTTTCTGAGTATGGCTACCTAGCTCACTCTTTTTCAGATGCATCCAAAACAGGTGTCTACTTCGAGTATCTACTCGAATAGATAGACTGCTTGCTGGAGAGATGGCAAAACCCAGGTTCATTGTGCCTGCCTTAGGCTCAAAAGATTCAAATTCTTGCATTTCCCTGGTTTGATCAGAGCTCTAACCAAGGATCAGTCTGGGAGATGGTAAGAACGCGCTGAGCTCTTGTTAAGCTTGCTGGGCTTGTCGTGTACTTGTTAAACTTGCTGTACAGTCAGCAAGGTAGATAACAAAACTGAAGAAGGGGCAGAAGGGAATGAGGGTTGGTGATGACTCCCCTGGAATGGAGTGTTAGGCTGCTGGTCCCCCTATTTTGCATAGGTAGTGAGCTTTAGTTCTTAAGGGTGGGTTGGGAAGTCAAGCCTGCTGGAAGACTGTTTTCACTGAATTGTGTGTGCTTCTTATGTGTGCTTTTTGTGGTTTTGTTTGTTTGATTTTGATTTTGTTGTTGTTGTTTTGTATTGTTTTAGTCCCTTCTTTTGCCACTGTGTAAAAGGGGAGAAGCCTTAATATAGGCATAAAGTATTTTCCCTCTTGTACCTACTGTCTGGTCATGGAGTCTCTCTCCTGGAATGTGAGAGCTAGGGTTTAAGCCTCCCATCCCTCAGGCTGAGAAACACCATGGGCTCAGATCTATTCCTTCCAAATACTGCTTCAGCTACTGGACTGTATGAATGAAAGGACTACAGGGCTATTTTTCCCCCCACTCTGACTCTATTTTTAAAGGAAAGTAGCTGTACTTTCATGGTTGCTATACAAAAACTTACCATAGTGTTCACTAGGCATCTTAGTTTGAGCATGGGGACATTTAGTTTGTATATTTAAAATAGGCTTAGCACGTCAAATATTTTGATGCAACTTGGCACATACTTATATATGTGGCAGTTTTACTGAAATCATAAGCACTAAGCAGGTAGGTTGCACTTCCATTATTTGCTCGCTTCATTCAAGCCTTATATCCTATTGCAGAATCAGAAATATTCTGCAGTAAAATGATGTTGGTGCTCTTCTAAAATGAAATAATTCTAGTACTTTCTACGTGGGTTAATGTGTTCCCCTGCAGTCAGTAACTGAAGGAGGAGGTAACAAACACATTAAAATGAAGATGAGTATATCAAAAGTAGTGTGGCTGCCTGCAGCAGGGCTATGGACTCAGACTTGAAAAAGATCACTGGGCCAATCTTTTTTCAGTGTATTTCACCAGGTTATTGTTAAACTTTTTCTGAGTAGTTACTGAATGTAACGGGCCAGCGTGAGGTGTTTTATTTCTGTATAGAAGTGTTTATGTGCAATTGTCTCAAACTTAAGATGTCAGCCACATCAAAATTGTAATTGTAAAAGTGTTTTAAGGCTTGTTCAAAACAACCAAATTCATATGGAAAAGCATTGTATTGCAGTGGAAAAAAGTTGAGAAATCCAGGGTGTAACACTGAGCTAGTGGCCAGGAGCATCTGTACATGTGAAGTGAGGCTATGAAGCTGTCTTCTGAACTTCACTGTCAAAACCTAAAAATATTGTTATTGATTAGGAGGTTATGGAAACTACTACTAGTTTGCACAAAATTTATGTAAGGATGTATAATGTGCACCAATCTGAATTAAAGGGATGATGTATCCTCTTGCAGATGTGCCAGCACCTTATGTATAAAAAACTTTCATAGACATGTAGTGAACTCCCCCTGTGCTTGCAATGCGGGTTAAAAATGTTTTACCACAGTAATGCCTGGAAGTCATTGTGGTGATGCTATAGCAGCACTTAACCCCCTGAAAAGCATCCAAAATGAGTAGCTGTAGCTGAATTGGCGGTGCTTGGTTTTGTCTAGGTGTTGGGTATGGGTTTGTCTAGGTTAGGTTTTCAGTGAAGGCATGATGCACTCTGCCTGCCTGGAAGTAAGCTTAAAACCTTGCAGCTCTGTCAGCTCTAGATGGATTTAGCCAACAGCCTCAGTTCTCTTGCAGGTAAGAGGAAGAGAGAAGCATAGACAGCATAAAAACAGAGAAGGTTAAAATAGCCAAGAGTCTGAGCTACATTTTTTGAACAGTGCGCTTTTTGTGGGACATTTGTTCATTTGAGTTGGGCAGGATGTCCACTGTGTTGCAGTGGACGCCAAATGATCATTATAGATTAGTGCGGGTGCTTAGGATGTGGCAGTCGAAGGCCATTAAAACACTGGAGGGTGTGTTCTGTGGATGCCTGGTGCTTTTAAAGAGCAGAGGTAACACACTGTATGCCTGACAGTGCATAGAGCCAAACCCCTGCTCCCTCCCTTGTGATCCTGCTGCGTCCCTTTGCACTGCTGGGGTCTTGCGGCCAGAATGGTTGAATGCCTTTAGAGGTGCTAGGAAAAGAGCTAGGGTAATGTAGTCGGCCGTAGTGAAGCTCTTGAAGGTTGAAACATCAGCTTTTTTTCTTAAACTGCATATGTGTGTACCTCTGTGTAAGTACCTGTTAATGCAGAGAGTAGAAAAGAACAGACCAGAATGAAGGCTCCTCCCAGTTCAGCTGAACAGAAACATAGGTTTCAGAAACAGCTCTCACTTCTGAATCCTTGGCTTCACCTTCTTAAGCAAGAGATGAAATCAGGCATAAATCCATGCTCCTGTAGCGAAATGAAATGCTTGTCCTCTGGGCGCTGGAATATGTCCCGAAAGGGTACAATCATCGGGAGCTTCTTGTAACAAGTCGAGTCGTGGTTCACTCATAGCTGAGAGCAAAATGAGTCTCCTGTTTGTGAAAACTGGTGTGTGTCCTACAGCACTGTAAAATAAATTCATTTAATATTCTGTGTCTTTCAAGCTGCAGACTTTGGGATGTTTGTGATGAAAAACGAATTTAGTGTAGCTAAAAGCTATGTTCTAGGGTGCTGGAGAATGAGATCTTTTTCTTTTTTTTTTTTTTTTAAGCAGGAGAGGAGGAACTAGACATATACATTAAATAGAGCTGAGAGAGAACTGACTTGGACTTATCTGAAGTTTCATATTGCAGAATTTTGTACTTGTTTTTTAGTATTATCATACACAAAGTTCATTTTGGAATTCCAAAAAGCCCACGCACAGATTTTTTGTAAAGGACCAGCAGCATTTCCTTGGGAAGTGCATGTAAACAACTGACCTACTGATATCAAATGAAAACAGGCAAAAAGAATAATGCAAAGACTTCTGCCATTCAGTTTCTTGCTGGAGAATTAAATTCCTGGAGGCTTGTGCAGGGGAATGTGTTGTAAATAGACACCAGTAACTTGTGTTTATTTTCCCTAGTCGGTTGTCCCAAAAACCCAGTTTCATCTACCAAATGTGAAGGGTGAATTGAAAGCTTTAACAAGACTGTGTGGTGAATGTCTGGCAGTTTTCCTTTGTAGCCTGGGTCTAGCACGTCAGAAAGGGAGGAGGGTGACGTAGGGACCGTCCCGCTGACGTGCTCGTGTTAGTCCAGCGGCTGCTGAGCTCAGGCCAGCCGTGCAGCTCCCGGCAAAGAAGCGGCCCGGGGGAGCGTCTGCCACCAGCCTTGCTGCACCTGCGCGCGCGGTGCCCACGCACCTCCCCACCGCCCCCTGGATGTGTCCTAGGCTTCCCCTTCTCCAAGCACACTGCGGGGTTTTGTCCTATGCATGATAGGCCAGATCTGTGTGGTCCTTGGTTGGGAGGCTTGGCGAGTAATGCAGAATCTTTAAGAAGAGGGGGTAATGACCTTTTAAATAAAGTTCTTGATTTTATATGTTGATGGCTATGCGTTTTAAAAAAATAATTTTGCTTTAAGGAAAATTGAGGCCTTCTCTTAATTGAGAAGTTCTCCTAATTAGCGAGCCCTTGGTTTGCAGGTCCCATAGGTTCTCTCTTGTAAATACATCACACGTAGCTGTGTCTGACTGATTCTTCACAGCTATGTTATTTACTTTGCCTTCCAGGTGTCCGCAAATATGGTAAAGATTTTCAAGCTATTGCAGATGTAATTGGCAACAAGACTGTTGGCCAAGTGAAGAACTTCTTTGTAAACTACAGGCGTCGGTTTAACTTAGAGGAGGTATTGCAGGAATGGGAAGCGGAACAAGGAACCCTGGCTTCTAATGGTGATGCTTCTGCTTTAGGGGAGGACACAAAAAATACTTCTAATGTGCCATCAGGAAAGAGCACTGATGAAGAAGATGAGGTGTGTTTTTGTGTACCAGATCTAAGTAAGCATGGATTGAGGAATAGCATTGTATTTAGTGATTGTAATGTAAGGTTAACAACTGGTGTGGAGTGGCAAAGCACATTCTAAAGAATGATGATGAGCTTGCATAGAGCTTCAGCCAATGTCATTAATCACCTGGGAACAGGACTGCACCTTTCATAGCGAATATCCTGTTACTGTTATTGTTAAAATACACTTCTTCTTCTAGAAAGAAGGCTCTTGCTGCATAAATATTTTTAGTTTTGCTGTATGATATTTTGGTTGGTGATTTCTTTTCAGTAGCTTCTCAGTTTTTTGGTTTGTTTTTTAAATACTGTTTCCTGCGTAGCGGACAGTGGCCGCCCACCCGCGTGGCATCCCGGCTGCGACGGCCGCTCACACCATGTCCCGTCTCTGTCCTCCGCAGGCACAAAGCACTCCGGCCACTCAGTGTTTAGGCCCTTCGCCTCCGGCGCCGGCGGCCGCACCGGCAACCTCCGCTCCCACGCCAGCTTTAAAC